CTAATGAAAAAACAAATGTTTTAAAAGATGTATCAGAAGTTAAGAAAGAGTTACTTACTTCTAAGAATGAAACCACCGTTTGTGATTTCTTTAGTCTATGGCTTGATTTTCCTAATCGCAGCTTTTATATCATGTGTGGAAAATGTGGGACATGAACCTAGAGACCTGTATCTGCAGCCCCCGTGTCCCTGCCACACTTTGGAGGGCCAGCAGTAAAAACAAAGTGTTTCAGTTATTTAATTTCTTTCATCATTCAGGGATGTAAAGCACTTCTGTGACAGCGTCAGAATTTTGGTTATCCACAATCACTTCGTTTCACTAAGGGAACTATTTCCGGGCACATTTTACTTTGCTTCCTAGAAGAAAATCTATGTAAAGCCTATGTTGCCTATGTTAACTTTGTGAGATGGTTCAACATCATTGTTATTTCCTAGTTAATCTGAGGTTATTGACAGTAAAAGTATGGAAAGTGAGATAGTATATAATCATAACTACCCTTGGAAGCCATGACGACCAATGCGATAGTTTACTGACAGTGTATTTATGTTCACTCCTTTGAGAGACAGTGAAAGATTCTTTCATTTTCACTGGTTACTGCTCTAGGTTAACAGGTCACACACTGTGACCACACCTCAAAAAGTGTCGATTAGATACAATTATTCACATAGAACTTTTACATTTTACGTTAAAGTATGGCGATAAGAGAATGAAGCCATAGGTTTCAGTATTTTTTCAGTCTTTACTTCTCAACGCAATTCATCAACATTTGTAATGAACCATCTTCCCATCATCAAACCACTTTCCTCTATCATTCTGAAGTCAAGGACTGTTATTTTAGAATCATACATTTACTTTGAGATACTGGACTTCTCGCATGTACATAATTATGAAACATACCTGTTAAAAAGGTCCCTGCTCTAAATTCACTGGTTTTCTAAAACAGAAAAGTAAACTTTTATCCAGCATGTAAAAGTCATTCATAAACGAGAAAGACTTTAGTAATAAATATTTCCCATCAACATTACGAAAAGGTGACATTCGGGACAACAAAGTATTCCATTCAGAGCATTCTAATCATTCCAGTGTTTGAGAGAGAGAATGTTTTTCAATCATCTAAGATTTTATTCTTCAGGTATTTCATCTTCTATAATAGCATACATTATCCAAAATGTGCACAATTACTTATTAGCAAACCCAAATGCCATTAGGTTAAACAAAATCCCCACTATAGCAAAAGGGGTTAACTAGATTTGTATTAATATAGAAGCCAGGCTTTTAATATTCTGCAAATGTTAACAAAGAAAGATGATAATGTTGAGTTAATATGGGTTAAGCATAAAATGAAAATAAATTTTTCTGATTGTGAGGTGTTGACACTTTTTTGGCTAGGGCCTCTAGCCTGTTCCTGAAAGCTGTGTAATTACAGAAGGCTTTTCCCCTCCTTCCCCCTCCTGCTTCAAGCCTGCCCACATTAGTAATGACCCCTTCCCTGCTTCAAAAACCACTAATGGTCTTCAGCACGGGCAAGAAAAATGAACAGGATAAATTGGAATCCACAGTCAGTAATTTGCATCCTATGAGGCTGCTTTGGCCACTCGCACTCATTCCCGGCCATCAATCGTTGCCTGTCAGGTGCTGCACTCTGCCACCATGACAAATACTCCTCCTAACACTCTGATTCGTCCAAACAATGTAATTGTCCTCTATTCTCCTTTTGGTAATGGAGATAATGAATGACTGCACAAACAAGAAGGATTGCTCATCACAGACGCCGGGTGGCTTCAAACTGGAAAAGGCCTAGGGTACAAATTTTAATTGACTGAAAACACAGGTTAGGGCAAAAATGACACCACTATCAACAAAAAAATCCCCAAATCCTTCTTGTGATGGTATTTTCCTGCTAGATTCAAAGGAGGAGCACCTTTTGACTTTTTGTCCTAAAATTTTGAAAGCCTAGGCTTATAGTTTATTTGCTCAATGGAAATAACTTTTGCAAATAACAAAAATGAAAATGAAAATAAGGACTCGCCACATGAGCATATAGCTCCTCATTAGTAATATTGTCCAGTGTGCTCTTTCTTCGTGTTCTCTTTCCTGTGAGTTTAGTCTTACTCATTGTCGTGATGCATTTGCCCAAGATAGTTCCAACAAAATGTGGGTCATGGGTTGTGGGGAGTGTGTGTGCATGCATATGTGTGCGTATATGTGTGTGTAAGAAAGAGAGAGCAGCAGAAACCCACACATATACACACATACACAGAGTTGGGTTAGATGAAATAAAGGTTTAAGATGTTAAGAAGAGTAGAAAGGTGACGTTACTGGAGAGCCCATTCATTCAAGTATGACTTTAAATTCTGATTGAATAAAAATAATTCTTTCCAGTGTTTTATTAGAAATTCAGTCAAATGACCACAAAATTACATAAACAGTGCATTTTATCTTGGGAATCCCTGAGCTGTACTTTCACTATGAAAGCAGTTACAAATTCCATCCACAATCATTAAGAAAATTGGGACCTTACCAAAATTCACCTTGCACAGATGGCTTTTTTTTTTTAATTAATAGAGAAGATCATAATAACTTTAACTTATTTAAATAACATTCTGTGGTTTTTGAACATTCATGATTCTATGCCCCTTTTATATATGAAGTGGACTGTTTATCTGAAAGTGTTCTGGCAGACAGCCACTCTATTTCTAAAATTAAAAAAGGGATGGGAAACAATCAGCTTTCAGAGGAATTGGAACCATGGCAATGTGTTTTGGATTAATTTACAAATATATGTATATATTTGAGGCCAAACTATGGAACTATAGAGAATTTCTACTACATAGTCTATCATACGCATTCTTCTACTTTATTAGAACAGACATCATATTGAAATAATAAACATGGGAAGCCTTCACTCCTCCTTTGATGTATATTACTAAATGTCTGACTGGTTCAAATTTAAAATAAACTTTGGTATGTTTGCACTTGAAAACTGGAAGTAGACCACAAGCAATAATTTGTTGTCAGTTTCCATATTCTTGGACTAAAGCTATAGTTTAGTCTATTCGCTGTTGGGGGCCAACCCACTCTGGTCCAGTGGCTCAGAGGTGTCTCAACTTACTCATAAGAACACACACTGTAACATAATAGCGATGATGATAATTCCCTTCATCAAGAAAGAACCAGCACAGGTCAAAGTTTTTCAAATCCTGACATAATTCTAAGGCCACTGTTGAACTGAAAAAGTGGATCACAAAGATCCTCTTATTTTGAATAACTGACATGTATGGTTCATGATTCAATGCAGATAGAAAATATTTTTTAATTGCCTTTTTAAAAGACTCATTTGAAAGTAAGATATTATCTTCATTCCAGATACTGACCTTGGGTGGAGGAGAGGATGAAATTGGTAAAGGGGGTCAAATATATGGTGACAGATAGAAACTAGACTGTTAGTGGTGAGCATGTTATAGTGTATACAGATACCGAATTATAATGCTATACACCTGAAATTTATGTAATGTTATAAACAATGTTATTTCAATTAAAAAAAAGATACCGAACTTTGTTAGGACTTCTTGTTCTCCCCACCAACAACACCCCTTTTGGGGTTTACTGGATTTATCAGGTATATGGAATTAGATGTACAGTATTTTGAGAATATTATCAGTGGAACAGTTTTGGGGGAGAAACCATTTAATAATAATCTTCTTTTGTGATTAACCTCTCTCCAATGATGTCCTAAATGAAACCAATTTATCTTAAACTTTATTCTATGTTGAAAGAATTTATACTGATATTTTAAAATACTTCCAGTGATATTTCTAATCATCTCATAAATTAGGAGAAAAAAAATAAATTTTAAAAAGAAGTATTTGGAAGGACAAAAAATTGGAAGTACCCTAAATGTCTATCAACTGGATCACAGTTAAATAAAATGCGAGGTGCTCATGAAAAGGTGTCCCCATGCGTTAAGTAAAAAAAAAGAAAAGCAAGTTGTAGAACTTTATGTATTATCAATTTGTAACATAAACAAACAAATAAATAAAATTTAATATACACATACCTATATTAAATAGTGCAAGAAAAAAATCTGGAAAAATACACACTAAATAATGGTTCATGTTGTGTAGGGCACAGGAGTGGAGGTTTTTACTTTTGTTTATATACTCTATTGTCTGCAAGTGTAGTGCTTTTAACAATATTTTAAAAATCCAATATCAATTTAAAAATTATAATTAATTTATTGTTGCAATGATAACTCCCTTAGACATTTTGCATTTTTTTAAATACCAATTTAACTCTTTTATACAATTATATATTCTCTTATGTTATGGTAACTTGATCACTGGATATTTTTAAAAGCGGGACTCATCTCTTAGGATCAGTCCTGCCTCTTAAGTTACTTTCCTACCCTATGAGTTTGACTCACTTACTGGTCTATAAAGTTTACTAGATAAGCTCTCTGAAGAACAAGGTACAATTTGTCAAATTACTTCTATGGTGAGGTACTACAGTCATTAAGACAAATAATCAAGTAACTTGTTGGGCAGGATCTTAGTTTGAACGAATACTCAGAAACTGAGCATTATGATTATCACTTATTTTTCTTCACTTCCCTCCAAGATACCACACATTTTATAGTTAAATCCAGGTGACTTTGATTTTGATGATGCCACTTGTGTATGAAACCCTCTAAGCAATTTCCTAAGGACAATGAAAGTGCATTGGGCAAATGTCACTTATTACCCTAAGACCATGCTTACTGAATTGGGGTACAAGTAGAAGTGCTAAGGACACTGAATAAACAAGTGCATCTTCCTAAAATGTTAAATGTATTCAATGGTCATTAATTTAACACCTTTTTCTTATGTAAATAAGAATTCCTATGCTATGACTAGCATGCGTACTACAAATGAAATCTGAAGATAAAACAAGAAACTATTAAGATATTTTAAACCCATCACGTCCTCATGGTTGGAGGTAATGTCCTTTTCACTAAATTCCTA